AATACGCAATGGGGGAGTTGATCCCATTTTCTATGAGCGAATGAGTCCATACTTATTTATCATTAGAAAGACCTATTCGTAATAATTTGAGTTTATTCATTCTGTCTTTCTTTATGAATTTTTATAATCTATGGATAAAATAAATACGATAAAAACCAATATGAATATTATAAAGACAATAAAAAAAATTGTTACGTTTCCACCTCAAAGTGAAATATAGTATTTAGTTCTTTCTTTCATTTAATGCCTATTGGTGTTCCAAAAGTCCCTTTCCGAAGTCCTGGAGAGGAAGATGCATCTTGGGTTGACGTATAGTGCGACTTGTCAGATATATTGGGTCATATGGTATTTCCCCGTTCTCTCCCCCGATCGAGATATCCCCCGTTTCACCCAAGAAAGATAAATTTAATCATCAAAAATTTGGAGCGTGAAGTGCAATTAGATCCATTTTTGAGGGGATTCATATTACTATTATCAATTAGAAAAATTCAATTAGAATAATTTATGGTTGGCTTGGTTGGACTAAAAAAATGAAGTATCCAGGCTCCGTTTAGAAAAAACCCAATTGGATTGGTAAGATATCTATGATTGCTATTCATATTTTTTCTTTGTAAAGAGATCCTAATTGTCAAGCAAAGTTATCTCAACTCTAAGAAATACTTGTATAAAATGAATTGAAAAAAAAAAAGAAATACAAAAAGAAATGGTAATGGGAGCATTTGTCCTATATGTACAAATCCAAATCGGGCGGATCTTTACCCGGAGTAGAGCATAAACCTAAAAAGATGAAACAGACCCATTCAGGAACAAGAAAATACCATCGCGGTTTGGATTAAATCTCGATGAAAGAATACATCAATGAGAAGTTAATTCGATAAGTTTAATGACCCTTTCTTATAACTTCAAATTTTATAATGGAAAATCGAAAATATAAAAAAGGAGTCAAAACTCGTCTTTATTAAAAAATCGAAGAAAAGCCCTTTCGTTAGAAGTAAGAAAGAACCTTTCTAGAAAAAAAGAAAGAGGACTGGAATCTATACATTGATTCACCATTTTTTTTTTGAACCGTATGCATCAAAAGGCGCATGTACGGTTCCTAAGGGATACAATTTTACCCTAATCAACCGACTTTATCGAGAAAGATTACTTTTTTTAGGCCAAGAGGTTGATAGCGAGATTTCGAATCAACTTATTGGTCTTATGGTATATCTCAGTATCGAGGATGAGACCAAAGATCTGTATTTGTTTATAAACTCTCCTGGGGGCTGGGTAATACCTGGGGTGGCTATTTATGATACTATGCAATTTGTGCGACCAGATGTCCATACAATATGCATGGGATTAGCCGCTTCAATGGGATCTTTTATCCTGGTCGGAGGAGAAATTACCAAACGTCTAGCATTCCCTCACGCTTGGCGCCAATGAGGTTTTTATTTGAGAGAAAAAAGAAGACTATGCCTTCGCCATATGAATACTAAGTAATAATAGCATGGCACTTCGAATTCGATATGAGAAATTTTTGTATTGTTTTTTTTTCAAAACATTAGATTCTGTATCGAGAGAGTAGTATGAGATAAGGGGTATTTCCGATTTTCTCTTATCTATCGGGAGTTCAGTTCAGCGTCACAAACTTTTTTGTTTTCATGCCGGAGAGTTCTTAACAATATTTATGTTATGAAAGAGTACGAAAAAAAAAAAAAAAGATTTTTTCCTTATTTGATCGGATTAAAAAGAAACTTTGGGATTGCTGAATCACAGACAAAAAAAAAAAAAGAAAAAATAAACATATAAAGCAACGGAGCCATCATAGTATTTTTTAACTCCTCCGAAAGGAAGGATGGCAATTTGATCATTTACCCATCTGAGTCTGATAGATTCTATTTTTCTCTTTCTTCAATAGAAAGGAGGGGAGGTCAATTTTCTTGTAGAGCCGTATGCACAAAAGATGCCTGTACGGTTGTTCAATTCTATCTTTTTTCTATTCTTTATCTTTCTTTTCTCTTTGCTTTATCATGCGAGATAGGGGAAGCTTTTATTTTGTTATATCATCAGGGTAATGATCCATCAACCTGCTAGTTCTTTTTATGAGGCACAAACAGGCGAATTTGTCCTGGAAGCGGAAGAACTGCTGAAACTGCGTGAAACCCTCACAAGGGTTTATGTACAAAGAACGGGGAAACCCTTATGGGTTGTATCCGAAGATATGGAAAGAGATGTTTTTATGTCAGCAACAGAAGCCCAAGCTTATGGAATTGTTGATCTTGTAGCGGTTGAATGAAAATAACATGGATTTCGCGCAAATCTGTGATTTGAGATTTTATCTTCGAATTGAATATTCTATTAAATAGAAGTAATTCATCATCATTCGGTTAGGATCAATCTAAACCAACCCATCATATTATGTATACGATTCAACATGCCAACTATTAAACAACTTATTAGAAATACAAGACAGCCAATCAGAAATGTCACGAAATCCCCCGCTCTTCGGGGCTGTCCT